CACGTACAGTCAATTGCTTTTCAGCAAAGTTGCCAATGTAATTCAACAGGGGAAAGAATGATGCTTTTCATAAATGGTGCTGGAAAACTTTAAGTCCACATAGAAAAAAAAAATGAGCCTCAACTATCACCTCACATTATACATAAAAATTAACTCAAAATGTAAAACTCAAAACTGCCAAACTTCTTTAAAAAAAACCTAGGAGAAAAATCTTTGCTACATTGGAGTTTGCAAAGATTTCTTAGGACATAAAATGCATGAATCATAAAAGAAAAAAAAAAGTATAAATTGGACTTGTTCAAAATTGAAAATTTCTGTTCCTTAAAAGACACAGTAAAGAAAATAGAAAGGCAAGCCACAGACCGCAATAAAATATCACCACACTTACACCCGACAAAGGACCTGTGTCTACAATACCCAGAGTATTTTATAAATCCTCATAATCAATAAATAGGAAGACAAATATCTAGGTTAAGAATGGGCAAAATATCTAAATGGATACTTGGCAAACGAAGATACACAAATGGACGTGAAAAGATGCTCAACATCATTAGTCACCAGGGAAATGCAAACTAAAGCCACCATGTACTTCCACCACACACTCGCTGTTAGGGCTAAAATTGAAAAGACTCAAATTCACACCTGATGGGCACGATGCAAGCTATCTTGGTGATGGGCACGCTTGGAACTCTGACTCAAGTGGCACAAAAGCAATTCGTGTAATCAAAACGTTTGTACCCCCGTAATACTCTGAAATAAATAAAATAAAATTGAAAAGATTGACAATACCACGTTTTGACAAGGCTGCGGAATAATTGGAACTCTCACACATTGTTGGGAGGAGATGTTTAATATGCATTAAAATGTAAAATGTTTCTTCTTCTCTTTTCCCTTAAAGAAAAAAAAGAAATCTTATTGGTGTAAGGTAGGAAATGCCCTGTCTAGCTTAATCCTTTCTTCATAACTTGAGAGGTTCTCTTCCAAGCCCGACAGGGAAAAGACCAGACCTTCCTGGTGGACGGTTCTGCCTCAGTTCTTAGAGAGAACGTGTCGGGAACCCCAGCGGGGTGCAAACGGCCACCCGAACTTCACCCCACTCTCCGACACGCCACAGTAGGATGCCCCTTCGTGCCTTTAAGCCACCCTCCTGATAAAACACCCGGGGTGGGGGCCTGTGTGCAGAAGCCTCCGGGCTGCTGAGGCTTCCGTGGCGTGGAACATGACGTGTCCCCTGGAGTGTCCCTGTGACGATCACCTTCAGGTTCTCCGTCTTTTGTCTGCGGGGCGCTGCAGACTGGCTCTGGGGCTCCGTCACGGGAGGGGCAGCCCCCACCCACCCGAGGAGCTCCCTGCCCTCTGGCTGGCGGCTTGCTGCCGGGCAGGGCTCGCTGCTGTTTTAACTGAAGGAGAAGGCCCGCCGTGGCTCTGGGACGGGGTTTCCGCAAGGCGTGCTCACCTTACGTACTAATTAAAGGGCAGCCACATCTCCCCTCCCGCTCTCTGCAGCCCTACCACCAGGGCTACCTGATAGTCGCGCCGCAGATCGGTTACGCGGCCGCCCGCGATGATAATGCCATCAGCAGCGACAGTGGAGTGGACAAGGCTGAGTGACTCGGGAAACTACTTCCCGGTCGGACTGACCTGTTGGCGCCCGCTTCCCACCACGCTCGTTTTTATGATGAAAAAGGAAATCGTTTCTGCTTTCCATGATGGGAGATCCAGAAATGGTGAGTACAGCGGGCGTGGGGGGAGAGACTCTTCTAAGAGACGGACCTCCACCCTCCGTGGTGACCGCGGCCTGCCAGCCAGGCCCGTTTGGAGGGGACGTTCTCCCCCAGGCTCCGTCTTCCCGAGAGCGGTTTTCCATTTATCCTCGGTCTTTCCATAAAGATGACCTACACCACCTGCCACATGCGGATGGTCAACGAAAGAATTAGCCAGGGCCGGGCGCGGTGGCTCACGCTTATAAACGTAGCACTCTGGGAGGCCGAGGCGGGCGGATTGCTCGAGGTCAGGAGTTCAAAACCAGCCTGAGCAAGAGCGAGACCCCGTCTCTACTATAAATAGAAAGAAATTAATTGGCCAATTAATATATATATAGAAAAATTAGCCGGGCAGGTGGCCATGCCTGTAGTCCCAGCTACTCAGGAGGCTGAGGCAGGAGGATCGCTTGAGCCCAGGAGTTTGAGGTTGCTGTGAGCTAGGCTGATGCCACGGCACTCACTCTA